ATAAACACATGGAACACTGCTCAAAGGTCTCGTGTCTCCAACAGGAGCCCGGTTTCGGACTGAAACGAGAGCGAAGCCAAGGGTCTCATTTCTGAATTATTCTTCAGGGGTGTCCTTCCCTTCGCCTCTGTGGCTCCTTCCTTGTGCAGCTGGATGTTGCCCACAGGAACCATAGAAATCTAGAGCCCACAAGGGCCATGGCCAGTGGTTGTGGTTTACCAGGCCTGAAAGGCCTCTGCCGTCTGGATGGGCTTGCATTGTGTGGGATGAGGATCGGAGTTAAAACAGGCTTCATGAAACAATACCACATTAGAGTGGACAGAAACCACTTAGTCCAGCTCTTCATTTCGTGGATGAGAATACAGTGCAGGAAGTTTCTATAACTTCATGGTCATCTATGCCTTCCAGTTGTGGTATAGTCTCCCCCTTAGGCCTGATGCTATGATAGTTTCCTTATCCCAAAGACAGGTGAAATAGAAGAAGTTCCCTGGTAAGATTTCCTTAGTCTCCTTTTCTGTACCCATTCCTGCTTTGGAAAGTACCACCAAACACCGAGTAGCATCCCTGGGGCTCTGGGTCCCTTTGGAAATACAAGCAGTGGCTTGGTCTGCTTGCTCTGGCATGGGGGTTGTTCTCACGCCAGCAGAGAAAGCCTCCATCCTGTACCCCAAGACCCTTCCCCGAAGGCATCCAGCAGTCAATGGATGGGTGTGCTTCTTCTCTCTGTCCCCTTGCCAGTCAGTTTATCTGCATCTCCTAAAGGCAAGCTGGAAAGGACCGGAGCACAGGTGACAGTGTGTTTCTTGCTCCCTTTGCACTTGGGGATCTTTCAAGTTCCATTTTGACATCTATTTGTTGGTAAATTCTGATGAATTCGAAAGACTTCTTTTGGACAATCCACAGACTGGCAGCAAAGCTCAGTGTCCAGGATATGTTTTCTTCCTCGTTGAACCTTGCCATGAGATTACAGCTCATTCCCCTCTGCCTTTCTAGACAGCTATAAAGTGAACAGACTTTAATAATAGGTATTATAGTAGGATTTTTTTAGGTAAATTGTGAAAAATAATATCCATAAATGTGATTTTTAAAAACCTGGTTATGGATTTCTACACAATGGCTAAAGCTTCCCCTTTACAATGGATATTTCATTAAGAGTAGACTATGACTTATTCCTACTTTAATTTTATTTATGTGAGATAAATTTATGTGCTTTGGCTGCATTTTCATGGTGAATTTTCTGTATATGCTCATAAGGTTTTTCCTTTTCCTTTTCTTTGGAGACATCTAACTGTCCACTTTCAGGCTGATGAGCCAAAGGCCATCCTCTCATTTTTTTCAAAACTTAAAACTTGACAGTAATGTTCTTTTCCTCCAAATCGTGTGGCTTTGATGTTCATTATCTTAAGATTCATAATATATTTTCTCCCTATCATCAAAGCCCTAAAACTTGTTTTGGCTCAGACATCTCCAGAGACTGAGTTCTTTCCTCCAGTTCGACTGTCAGGTTCTTCCTTCAGAACAATTTGTCTGGATATCCCAAGGCCCCATTCCTCAGACACATGTCTCCATTCTCCCCTCTCTTCTCCTCTCCTCCTCATTCCCCTGCCTCCACCCTATGCAGGCAGCTGCTTCTAGAACACTCAGTTCAAGGATTATTTGTGAAAATTCTCATGAAATATCCAATCACCTATTTCTCTGAATTAGGAATTTCGAAGCCAGCATTTAATCCGTGTTTCTCAACTGACACCCTTGCTGAACTTAAAATGCTGCCAATGAGGAGGGGGAGAATGGTTTTATTTTTAATCCTGGGTAAAATAGGCATCTTTGTTCATAATACCTGGCCAGCCACAAGGCTTAAAAACTTCCTCCCAAAACTTCTAACCAAAGACGGATCCTTGTCCAGTTCAACAAAACGTTAATATGCTTAGGTTCCGCCCTACACTCACGCCCTCACTGAACAGGCTTTGGGAAAGAGAAGTCATAACGTGGAGGGTGGACACCCCTCACATGCCTATACAAAGACGCCATGGAGTATGGATTTGGTCATCCAAATCACCAAAAGAATGATATGGCTTCTGTTACCCCCAGCTACAAGGTTTCCATTCAGGCAGCAGAAAATTTGTCATGTGTGCCACTGCATAATTGTCTGTCCCCTCCCAGTTATTAAGCAAAGGGACTCCTGGTTTCAAAATCGAGTTTGTCAAATACTGAACTACAAACGGACATGGGATTGGTTAGCGTTCTTCCCACTGACACGAACTCTCGGACCTCCCTCCATGCGGTGCTAGCAAGCCATTTACTAAAAAGGGACAAAGCGCTCTAAGATGGTAGCAAGGTTGGGCACTCCTGGCACTGTTGCTGCCATTCTGTCTTGTCACTTGTCCAAGCCCTGCCCTTGTCTAGCTTTCCTTTGACCTTGATACAAGCCAGGAATGTAAACACGGTGACTCTTATAATGGCTCCTTTGTGTTCATATCTTTGCTTTCTTCCCAAAGATCCTTAAAGGCACAACACACAAAGCCAGGAGCCCAGGTGCTCCGCTCTCAACCTGCTTGCTGACTGCTGGACCGTGGTAACAGGATAACTGGATTCTTAACGCTCAGATTTACTGATACCAGAATTCGCTTCCCACCTATGGCTCTGCAAGTGTTAAGTGATTAGTCTGACGCCAGAGAGGGAGTGAACTGGTCAGAATTCAGGCTGTTTCACAATAGGCTTGGTCTATGGAGTTATCTCCAGACATGTTCTCTGTTGGGGCTAGATAAACCATTGTTGATACTCGCTATTAATTGATAACCAGCCGGGACTTTCCACTTGAGAGAAATAGAAACACAGTAAGCAATTCCTCTGAGCTGTTCTTTCTTTTGACTCAAGTCAATCCTGGGGTTATCTTTTTGAGAGAGTTGAAACACCTTCAAGGATTCAGTATTCGTCTGTGGAATGTGCAGACATTTATAAAGTATCTCTGTACTAAAGGACCATGGGAGGAGGAACTCATGAATAAAGGTGGGCCTGGAGCTGGGATGTAAAGAATGACTCAGACCCACACAGTGAACTGGGAAACAAGACGGGCACCGTTGCCAGGGAGTGCTTCTCTACACAGTATGTTTCCGACCCAGAAGGGGTTAATATATGTGGATACTTAGGATCAAGGAAAGAAAGGAGAGATCTGTAAAGCTGATATCCTCAAATAAAATCCTCTACTTCTGTAGAAAGCTCACTGCTGTCAGGATTTGGCTGGAAACACCCAGGTCGAGGATTTTCCTGACTGAAAAAATCTCCTCTCACCTGTGTGAGAGGTTGTCTGACCCAGACAAAGAGTGACACCGGTGTCTCTTTTCTGGACGGCCTGTATTTAGAACGCATCATCTAATCTGAAATTTATAAATTCTAAAGAGAGCCCTTACTGAAATATGGATGAGTCTTCGTTAGTGAGGGAATGGCGCCTGGTGACGAGTATCTTTAGCAGGGAATATATACCTGGAGATGGAGAAAATACGGGAGGAGACAGAGATGTGTTTCAAGTATGAGGTCAGAAAAGTCAAGCAATCCTGTGGAAGCCAGTCACGAGCCTCTCATTGTAGAGTGCTTTGAGCAAGGCTTGGCGATTCTCAAATACAAATTCTCAAGTTTCTGGAAGGCTTCCTCCTTCCCTTCTGCCCCACTGTCTTTCCTCTCATTCTCCCCACCCCCAAAACTGGTAAATGGGAAGAAGGAAGTAGCTATGACTGCAGCTTGCAGGATTTTGAAATGTAAATGATGACATAGCTTCTGGTGGGGCATGGTAGGCATAGTGGTCCCTGCCTACTACTCTCTGTCTACCAGCGGTGTGTAACTAGTGAGCTAGGTCTCTGTCTCTGTCTCTGTCTGTCAGTCTGTCTGTCTGACTCTCTCTCTCTCTCTCTCTCTCTCTTTCTCTCATATACACACACACTCATGGGTGTCTATAGCATCTTCTGTTCAAGCCTGGCCTCTGCTGCCAGAGTCCCAGTGACCCCAGGATCCTCGCAGGCACTTCCTCCTCAGAAAACAGGGCACAAGACCCCAGTGCTCCCTGTGACTAGCCAGGCTCGTGAGCAAACTGACTTAATAGAAAGGAGTTGTTTTCTTCTTGGACGTTCCCTCCACCTGTTCAAAGACATCGAAGGCACAGATATCATTATATGTGACTCTTCTGTGTCCCTTCAGCGTGTTAGATGCAACATATGTGTGCGCACACATATACACACTCATACACAAACACACACACTCACATACACACACTCATACACAAACACTCATACACACTCATACACACACTCATACACACTCATACACACTCATACACACACTCATACACACTCATACACAGACACTCATGCACACTCATACACACACATACACACACATACACACATTCATACACATGCACACACTCATACACATACACACACACTCATACACACACACTCATACACACACACTCATACACACACTCACATGCACACACTCACACACACAGGAGTTCTGGGGATTGTCTGGCTTTTCTACCTTTTCTACCACTTCATTTCTAGGAGAAATCTACTTTTTTCTTGAAAATTTACTCTCAAGACAACAGCCTTATAGATAGATCTGATTTTGAACATGAGAAGCAATGCTATCTGGGCTTTCACAAATAGAAATCTCTACTTTTTTTCCTAGCTGTGCCATCTGGCTGTGCCTGGGCCCCCGCCTACGTAATCACACACACACACCCATGAACATACTGTAGCCGAAGGGGACGCTAATAAGGTCAGAGAGTGAGAGAATGGCACACTCGCATAGCCAGGAGTTTAAAATAACTCCTGAAAAGAACTAACAAATCTTCCTAAATTCACCAAAGCGGCTCTATCGAGATTTCTGAAGCCGTGTGAAAACATGCTTGGTTAGGACACCAAGCGGTCTGCTTCTTTAACATGAGGCCGACACAGGAAAGAAGTCAAGCCACTGGAAAACAGGCAGTCCTCTGCAGCAGCACTTACCTTGCCCACGTTCTCACGTGCCCCTCAACATTAGGAGTACTGCAGCTGCCAAGACTTAGTCTTAGGGAGACCAACAACAAACCATATTCCGGTAGTTCTTTCCCTTGCTTTAGAAAAAAAAGGGAGGGAGGAAGAAAGGGAGGGAGGGGGAGGGAGGGAGAGAGGGGGAGGGAGGGGGAGGGAGGGGGGAGGGAGGGAGGGAGGAAGGAGAAGGGAAGAGAGGGGAGCGGGAAGAGGAGGGGAGAGGAGAGAAGGGAAGGGGAGGGGAGAGGAGGGGAGGGGAGGGGAGGGGAGGGAAGGAGAGAGGGGAGGGAAGGGGAGGGGGGAGGAGAGGGGAGGGGAGGTGAGAGGAGGGGAGGAGAGGAGAGGAGAGGTTTGGTGGGCTCTGTGTAGCCCGTGGGTTGTATACAATAAAGGCCCAATTCCCAGCCTTTTCTAATGATTGGTGAACAGATGACCCCCATCCATGGAAAATGAGACTAACTTGTGAACAGCTTTCTGAAATACACGGCCCCAACCTCAGTTGCTCTTTATGGGCTAAATCGTCCTCGTCAGATTCCCGTGTTAAGGACTTAATTCTCTGCAAAAAGGCATTCGGAGAGCTTTAAGAGAGCAATACATGTTAAGGAAGGCATTGGGGTGTGGGTCTAATCCAGAAGCTCTGAAGAGAGGGGAGAAGAGGAAAAGGAGGAGGAGGAGGAGGAGGAGGAGGAGGAGGAGGAGGAGGAGGAGGAGGAAAAGCAAGAAGAAAGAGAAAGGTCAGACTCCACAAGCCCATGCAGAGGACAGGTCATGTGAGGATTCAAGGAGGCGGTAGCCTGTAAGCCATGGAGAGAAGTGTCCTCAGAAATGGCACCAGGCAGCACTTCGATCTTGGTTTTCTGGCCACCAGAACAGTGAAAACCTAATTTCTGTCCCTTCAGTTAACTATGACATCCCTAAGAATCTAACACACTGGCCACTGTGGAGATCAACATTGCTGGCAAGGATTTAAACAGAATCACTTTCAAAGTGGCCAAGTAGGTAGGCGTGTGTGTGTGTGTGTGTGTGTGTGTGTGTGTGTGTATGTGTGTGTGAATGTGTGTGTATGTATATGTTGTGTACAAACAAATGTATGCAGATACACATGTCTGTAAAGCACACATGACGGAAAACACGTGTGTTTTGCTCTGAAGTCCATGCCTAGGTTCGTAGCATATACATGGAAAGCAGGTTTTCAATAGCTTGCAGGCTTCGTTTTAGTCGGTTAAAAAAATGAACAGAGCAGTTTCTAGAATAAAATGTGTGTTAGCCTAGCATCAGGTGATACACACAGTCTTTTCATGAAGACTCTCCATGACTTTGAGTACTTTGAACTAAACTGTAGGGCATACTAGAAATTACTCTCACATCATGGGTTGGTGACAGGAAGGTTCATTTGTTTGAAACAGAAGGAATTAGCAATTCACACAGTTGAAAGGGAATTCTTTCCCTTTTTCTCTTTTACCTTAAAATGTATTATATTTTTATACGTATTACGAACTTTCAGGGAACTAATCCTTTAGCTTATTCACAGGCCTCTGAACACTTAGAGGAGGAAATTGTGCTGCTCCCAATGCTTTCTATTCTCATGACCCTGGACACATTCTCCTGACTCTGCGTAGCAGGGGCCAAGTCATGGAACTCATGTCTGAGATCGCAGTAGAGGATAAATGAGACATTACACTCAAAGTCCATAAGTCAGTATCTGGCACAGACTAGAAGCTTAATCAGTGACAGACATGTCAACACTGGATCTATATTGATATTATTTTTTACAGTTGTTTTACAGATGTAAATGCTAAATTTTAACCCACTCAAGGATCTTGTGTGAAGTTGCACAGCTATACAGCTATAAGTTCAGGGTTCAACTCCAGATCCATCCACCTGACACCCGTTCCTTTTCTCTTCCGGCAAAGATCTGAACAGCATACTCTTGCTGTGGGATAACCCCTCTGTATGCTGGGACTATATTTTATTACCATTGGTTAAAAAAGAAGAGGGTTTGACCTATAGCAAGGCAGGCTAGAACTATGTGGGAAATCCAAGCAAAGATACAGGGAGAAGAAGGGTGGTGTCAGGGAGATGCCAGGGAGCCCCTGGGGCAACATGATATACTAGAGAACACGGAAAACCATGAAGCCACGTGACAAAATGTAGATTAATAGAAATGGGTTCATTTAAGTTGTAAGAGCTAGTTAGTAATAAGCCTGAGGAATAGGTCAAATAGTTTATAATGAATATTTAGCCTCTGAATAATTATTTTAAAAATGACCAGACAGAGCAGAAAAGCCTCTGTTTGCACACTCTTACCAACAGAGCAGAGAAGCAATCAGTAAGAAGAAGTCTTGATTACTCCAGGGAAAGTTGTTGCTTCCAGGCTGAGATGGTGACTGAGCCATCTTAACCTTTCTTTGTGTCTCCCAGAGCCTCCTTTTCCTTCCTCTGTTCAGAAGCAGGGGAAGAAATGGCAAGGGAATGAAAAGGCTAGATAAACACATTCTGCGAGGATCCTAGGAAAGGGGATTTTGTTTGCATCAAATGTTGATAAAAAGATCATAGACAGTCCTTTTGATGTTCCTCTCCCCACGGTTAGGACTAGATTAAAGTGCATGAGTCATGGAAATGACCCAGGCAGGAAGAATGAGTCACCTTGCCTTTTTGGACCTTCTGGCCACAGTTTCTCCCGGGATCAACATCACCATGGGTAGGCGGGTCCTGCGCCACCTGCTGTAGCCCATCCCCTGCTGGGAAACACTCAGAACAAGGGGGAGACTGGGAGAGTGAGAATCCTTGAACCCTCAAAGGGCTGCCCTGTAATCTTTCCAAAAGCATTTTCTGCTATCAGCTTGGAAGCTTCTCGTCCATTTCATCACTTTCAACTCCCGAATCTACCCTCACTGCAGGCTAATCCATCCTGAAGGGCGGACACACACTTCACAGATGCCCGCTATGATCCTTGCCTCCTGCTTCAAGCAGGCTAGCGGGCTTGGGTTTGGGCATGCTCCCAAGAGCTGTATCTCTGTGCCTTTGCTGTCTTTATTGATCTCTTGGAATCTACCCACCGTGTTTCTTTCTAGGACTGAAATGCCCCCAGTTAAGACCCATACCCTGGGGCTCAATCCTGGGAGCCAGAGAGGTAAAGAATTGTCACATCTCTTGGTCCACTTTGTCCTGAACCTATAGACTTCCCCTTGGTCGAGGGTCATTGGATGCCCTGAAAAGCCCAGGCTTGACATCAGCTTACTCCCGATGAATCTACTTCTGTATGTCCTTTCCTTGTTCTCCCTTCCTCTTTTCCCTTTGTGGTTTTGGCATCTTTGAGGATCAGGCCAATCTGGAGTGCAATGAACTGCAAGGCAAACTGGGGACTCTCTGTCTAAGCTCTGGGGCAGCCACGACTCAGTTTGGACCATTTGAAGACAAAAGGGAAACACAGAAACAGAAAATATCTTAGACTTCTGAGTTTTTTAGAGAAACCAAAAATAGTAGACCTCCTTCTTTGGTAGTGAAATGATTCGATAGTCAAAACTTTGAACTAATAAGAATTTCCAAAGCAGTCAGTGTAGACCAAAAGGAAAGCTGTATGGGGTAGCTTGTAGTTTGCCTGCTGCTAACATGGCCTTTTGTGTAACTTTTATGGCAGAGTCTGGCTCATCCAGTTTGTATCCTCCTCTCTTTGAGCAGACAGCTGAATTCTGGTTCTCATGCTAATTTGCAGTAAGACCAAAGATCATTGATAGAAGCCAGAGACCCCATAGCTCTGCCAGCCACATAGACTCCATAGCCAGACACCTCCTCCATTTCCCAAGTTTTTCCTCTCTGCCAGCCCAGGAAATCTGAAGTTGGAAGGATTTGCAGAAGAACCCCCAACACACACCACACAGAGCCTCGAAATGCACTCTGACGAGAGATGAAAATCCTCTGAGATTTGGGGAACGTTTGTCTACAACTATCAGCTGAACTGGATTCATGTAGTGTTGGGACTTTTTCTTCCTCGTATGAGAGTAATATTTGTTAGTCCATTTGATCTTTCAGTATCGAAACTTCAGAAATAAGGAAAATGATGTTTTCCTCAAACCAATGAGATTAAAAAAAGAAATAATACTGATGTCTTCATATCCAAGCTGTTTCCAATAAGCAATTCTACTACTAGAGAAAAAAGTGTTGTCTACTATAAAGCTCGCTTGCTGCTTTATCCAGGGCAAGAGAGATGTCTGGGCATCAATTGCTCACTCGTCTCCATCAGGAGTCTTTTCTATTAGTGGTTGATTGCAAATCCTATAGCTTCTCAGTCGCCTAAATGCCTGGATGTTGGGTAGAAGTTACAGTGTTTTCTCACACTGTCCTAACACTTCAATTTGCTTACTATTCTACACCTATAGCTTTTAGAATCTTTAAACTTCTATCTATAACATTCATTCTCCAAATGGAAACACACTGCTTTAAAACATTTAAAGCATTCCATTTAAAATAATTTCCTCTGTTGGCAACTTGAATAATTTCTAAATGAGTAAGGCGTGCATGAACAGTAAATCAGGAGGATCCTGCAGAAAGCAGCTTTGTGTACTCTTTGGAGACTTGAGCTACACAATTGGGCTAAAGAGTGTTAGGGAGCATTCTGAAGTATCCCTCCCTGTCTCTAAAAAGGATGCCTTCCTTTGTATGACCACACTGCTCTCTGCTTGTCAAGACAGCCACCTGCTGATTGTGATGACTCTCTGCTCCTAGGAGAGCTCCTCTCCCTGGATAGTTGAATGTCCTTAGAAGGGACCTTCCTTCTCATCTATTCGGTGTTAACTCAGAATTAAGCAGACCGTCCTCGTCCTGGAAAGAATGTCTCACAACGAGAAGAATGGTGAACACTTCTTGGTTGCTATCTTCATTTTGTTTCTCTTCCCAGTAGATACTCAGCACGACGCTATAAGGAAGTACAAGGTAAGTAAGTGTGGGTTTTACACCATCATTTTATTGCTGAAACAGCTAAGGTCATGGAGAAGTTAAACATTTACATGAAGTTGTTGACTGACTTCACCTTAACTGCTGCACCATACTGACAAGGCCAGGTCAGGTGGAACATGGCAGC